AGATAGTGTACCACAGTAAGTTTGTGTAAGAGGTCTGTTTGGGGCATCAGGATCTGTCAGACTCTGCCCTCTAGTGGTGGTGATAAAATCACACGTAATGTAATCAGACTTAATAGAGTACTACAATCTCCTTCTGTATTAACAGCAGCAATGTGTAAAAAATTATTTTTTGATACTCACAAGCTGCATGAGCAGTAAAGATCTGCTTTATCAGAGCGTGAGTGAACTGTCCGAAGGAATAAAATAAAATACAAAAGTTGTTAAGTTTAGGTTTTGGGTAGGATTAGGGATGTAGAATATGGTCAAGCAGAATGTGTATTTTTTAAGTACTAAAAAGGGTGCTTCTACTAAATACTGAGCAAAGGGTCTGAATACTTAGGACCATGTGATATTTCAGTTTTTCTTTTTTAATAAATCTGCAAAAATGTCAACAATTCTGTGTTTTTCTGTCAATATGGGGTGCTGCGTGTACATTAATGAGGAAAACAAATTTACTTAAATGATTTTAGCAAGTGGCTGCAATATAACAAAGAGTGAAAATTTTAAGGGGGTCTGAATACTTTCCGTGCCCACTGTATATATATATATATATATATAATTAAATATTAAATATTAAAATATTAATATCCCATGGCTCAGTAAAAAGGGTCAAAACTGTTTTAGACAGATGTCAACTGTTTGCTGAAACTCACTATATACAGTGGGTACGGAAAGTATTCAGACCGCCTTAAATTTTTCACTCTTTGTTATACTGCAGCCATTTGCTAAAATCATTTAAGTTCATTTTTTTCCCTCATTAATGTACACACGTTTCACACCCCAAATCCAGGTGTGAAAAACTTGTTGCATCTTTCCCAAAAAGACTCTTGGCTGTATTAGATCAAAAGGGTGCTTCTACTAAATACTGAGCAAAGGGTCTGAATACTTAGGACCATGTGATATTTCAGTTTTTCTTTTTTAATAAATCTGCAAAAATGTCAACAATTCTGTGTTTTTCTGTCAATATGGGGTGCTGTGTGTACATTAATGAGGAAAAAAAATTAACTTAAATGATTTTAGCAAATGGCTGCAATATAACAAAGAGTGAAAAATTTAAGGGGGTCTGAATACTTTCCGTACCCACTGTATGTAGTAGGGAATAGAAAATGTCATTGCTTTAATATGAAAACCACTGAGTCTACGAGAGATCCTCACTACAGCTGTTCGTGCTTTCTAGTTTGTTCATGCTATAACACTGCTGTTTTGTGCATGTGTGATGCTTGTTTATACCACGGTATCTGTTGGAGTGTGTTTGCGTTTATGCAGGTAGTGTGACGTGTGTGTGTGTGTGTGTGTGTGTGTGTGTGTATGTGAACCACACTCATCCTGTGTGTGAACCGCTCGCCTGGGAACAAAGCGAACTCTTCTGTCTTCACAATCTCTCTCTTTCTGTCTCTTCGTCTCTGCTCTGCTCTCAGTGTTTCTGCTGAAGTGTGTTAGTGGTTTTAGAAAACATCTCCACTTCACATTTACTAGGATTTACACCCCTTCTTTAAGTTCTTTACTCTGTGTGTGTGTGTGTGTGTGTGTGTGTGTGTCTGCTAAGGTTCCGTTTTGCCTTGATCCATTATTCATCTTCCCCTTGTGTATCACAGGCTGGATGGCAACCAAGTCACACACACACACACACACACGTATGCGGTTTAACTCAACCAAAGATGCTCTCAAACAATGATTTTCACACGCTCAGAGGAAAGGACAAGATTTATAGATAATTTTACAGCATTGTGTGTGTGTGTGTGTGTGTGTGTGTGTGTGTGTTTGACTGATTCAGTGTCTCAGCGCAAAAGGACACTATTGATTATTTCCCTGTTCAAGCTGATAAATCTCTACAAAACTGAAAGCATCAATAAACAAAGATAAGAATGATGCAATGAAGTGCAAATGGGTCAAAATAATGATAAATCCTATATACAGTGTATATATAACAATAGACAGAACGATAGAACAATAGAACAACAATGACAATGATAGAACGCTAGAATGACAGAACGATAGAACGATAGAAAGATAGATAGAACGAACGATAGATAGAACGATAGATAGATAGAACTATAGATAGAACTATAGATAGAATGATAGAACGATAGATAGATAGAACGATAGAATGACAGAACGATAGAATGATAGATAGAACAATAGATAGATAGAACGATAGATAGATAGAACGATAGATAGAATGATAGATAGATAGAACGATAGATAGATAGAATGATAGATAGATAGAACGATAGAATGACAGAACGATAGAACGATAGAAAGATAGATAGAACGATAGATAGATAGAACGATAGATAGATAGAACGATAGATAGAACGATAGATAGATAGAACGATAGAACGCTAGATAGAACGCTAGATAGATAGAATAATAGATAGAACGATAGATAGAACGCTAGAACGATAGATAGATAGATAGATAGATAGAACGATAGATAGAACGCTAGATAGATAGAATGATAGATAGATAGATAGATAGATAGATAGATAGATAGATAGATAGATAGATAGATAGATAGATAG